CTCTCTCTCTCTCTCTCTCTCTCTTTAAAAAAAGAAAAAGAAGAAAAAGAAAAGAAAAGCTGACCCTGCTTTGGTGGACTAAGTGAGATGAACAGTTAGGGATGTGATCCCCTTTCACAAAGTGGGACTGTTAGATATCTAGCTTGTTCATATGATACTTTATGATTTTACTTGATCCTTATAAATTCTTCCTTAAAAAACAAGCAGCTGGAGGTTGGGGATTTAGCTCAGTGGCAAAGCACTTGCCTAGTACATGTGAGGCCCTGGGTTTGGCCCTCAGCCCTGGGGGGTGGGGGGAACAAGCAGCTGCCAGATGCAGTGGTACACACCTGTATCCCAGCGGCTCAGGAGGCTGAAGCAGGAGGATCTCTAATTCCCAGCCAGTCTCAGCAACTTATCAAGGCCCTAAGCAACTTAGCAAGACCCTGTATCTAAAGGGCTGGGGATGTGGCTCAGTGGTTAAGTACCCCTGAGTTCAATCCTCAGTACCACCCCTCCAAAAAATAAAAAAAACAAGCAACTAAAGGTGGGAGTCCCATCCGCAATTCAGATGTGTCATTTGTGAACTGCATCTTTTCTGTGGCAGAATGTTCCCACCCTAAGAATATTCTGCCTTGGGACCAGAAGTGGGAGAATGGAAGGTACAGAATCCTTCTTCAAAGGCAGGAAATGCCATTCCTTCTTTACCTCCTTGACTCACACTTAATAAGTAAGCCTTGTCCTGCTTTTATTAGCCTGCATTCAGTACCCAATTCTTTAGCTTATGAGATGGAGCAGGGCTATTGTTGTTATGAGCACAACCTAACCCTATGCCCTAACAATATGAAAGTATTGTATAATAGTTATAATGAAATAAACTCTTATTGTTAATGAACGTTTAAGAATTAGAAAATGTTCAAATATTGAACAGTACTAATAATGAGTTGCCTTACTATTTTAAAAAATGGATATTAGAAATATTTGTAATTATTTTGACCATATCTTTTTTGTATTCTTCCTCTTCCGTTACAGGGGATTGAACCCAGGGGCCTTCTATCACTGAGCTACACCCCCAACCTTTTTTTTTTTTTCCTTTATTTAGGGTTTCACTAAGTGTCCCAAACTGGCCTCAAATTTGCCATCCTTCTTTCTGCCTCAGCCTCCTTTATAGATAGGGTTACAGGTTTATGCCACCATACTCAGCCTTTTTTTGTTTTGTTTTGTTTTGTTGAGTTTTGTATCTTTTATTATTTTTTTAATTTTTTTATTTGTTCTAATTAGTTATATATGACAATAGAATGAATTTTGACACATCATACATAAATGAAGTGTAACTTCTCATTCTTGTGGTTCTACGTGATGTAGAGAAACTTACATAGGTCATGTAGTCATATATGCACATAGGATAATAAAGTCCAATTCATTCTACTAACATTTCTACTCTCATACCCCCACCTCCTTTCACTCCCCTCTGCCTAATCCAAAGTACCTCTATTCTTCCCCCTTTATCTCCACCACCCCTTATTATAAATTAACATCCACATATCAGAGAAAACATTCTGCCTTTGGTTCTTTGAGATTGCAGCCATTTCTTCTTCTCTTTCTTCTTCTTTTTTTTTTTTTTGTACCAGGGATTGAACCACCCAAGGCTATGTAACCACTGAGCCACATCCCTAGCCCTTTTTATTTAAAAAACAATAAAAATCCAGTCTCAAGATAAATTTTTTAAAAGGGCTAAGGTACAGCATCAGCCTAGCTTGCATGAGATCCTGGATTCAATCCCCAGTATTGCCCCCCCCCAAAAAAAAAGAAAAAATGAAGAAAATAACACCCAGAAGAATGGTAAGGATAGAAATGGAACAAGACTCAGGACAGCAGCAAGAGGAAATCTGCTGCCCCTGCAGTAAAGCATTCTCTACAATACAACTCTGTACTCTGGTATTATGGGAGGACTCCTAGTTATCCCACCAGCTCATGAGGCTATGAACAGAATATCAGATAGATTGCCATGTGGAGCAGGTCTAGAGGTTTTCTAGCCACATGGTGTATCCCAGGGACCTAATAGACATAGTGACTTCCATCTCTTCAAGGAAGGAATTAAACCTATGTGGGAGGATGACACAATAAAATGGGAGCAAGTGAATTATCTGCAGAGGGGCTTGGTCTCCCATTGTTGTGAGAGTCTCATACTAGACATGTTGGGGGAACAGACAATTCATGGTTAGGGGGCTGTGGTCTCTGCTTCTAGGAGGAAATTGTTTTAATATAGAATAGGACTGCCAGCAACCAACCAATCATAGCCCAGTTTCAAGTTATACCTCATTGAGTGCTTAACCTACATCCCAACACCATTATGGAATATAAAACTCACAGGCAGCATCAAAATGGCCAGGCAGGCTGTGCCTTTCAAAGCTTCTTTTTTTAAAACTTCTGAAAGCCACAGTTGAGCGTACCATGACCTGCTCCCTCTATAGATAACACTTTGTCGAAACTGGCATCATTAGAGTCTCTTGGTGTGCTACCTGCAAGATCCTTCTATCCTAGACAAGAAGAATTTGAAAAACTTTTTAAGAATAGGATGACACACAGTATCTGCAAAACCAGCTGATCACTTAAACTAAAAATTACGTGTAGAACAAAAATTTATATTAATAAAAGATTAAAAATAAAAATTTTCAACATTATCTTCTGTTTATTATTCTCTTTCCAATATTCTGCTCTTTCACATAGAAAATTTGCATATTTCATTTTGTCTTACCACCATGTATCCCCAAAAGTAGTCCTGTTTTATCATTGTCATTGTATGAAGGAATAGATATTGAACCTCACAGTTTATCCTTTTCCTTTGTACACTTCCTGCAATTGAACTCATCATACTCTATACTTCTTACTGTTTATATCCTGTTTTCTTACAATATGCTTGTAAGTTTTATCACGAAATTAGCCTAGAAACATGGTGGCTCCCATAGTATATTGTAGTATATATTAAAACACCCTGGCTCCTCCTCAGCACAGGTAGAAGGCTTTCCTAAGTTGATGTGCAAGCTGGTATTGAAGAAAAACCTATAATTATAAGACTTTGTTGATTTATTCGGTAGACTTTTATTGCATGGGATGATGAATATCTTCTATGACCACTTTCTTCTTTGCTTGCATATGGATTATTATCATTGTTATTGCTGTTAAATATATCCAAAAAATAACCAAACAGTTTTCAAATGATTTATCATTTTCTTTCCTTCATTTCATTCATTGCAATCTATAGTGTCTTTTTTGTCGGGTTTTATGAAAGTATAAAGATTGGCTTCATTGTCATTGTTTGTAATATTTCAAAAAAGCAGTGGTGGTATGCTTTTGTTTGTTAACAATATATGTTATGCCAGGAATATGAATATTATTTTAATCTCTAAACAGAAACCAGCCAAAATACTTACATCTTTTCCTTGCAAGTCATTGAAGCCATCAGATGAAATGATTGAGATTACTAATGACTTGGGGAAGACAGAGATTTTCTGTTCTGTTAATTGTTTTTCTGCATATAATAAAGCTAAGGTGGAATCTTCTACAGGTAATATTTGTTTAGCTTTTTCAGAATTTTATATTATTACTATTGACTTAACTATATTTTGCTTTTAATATGTAACCTGGATTCATTTCCACATTAAACTGACCTAAAAGTCAAAGCAGTCTAAAAGTTGTAAAAACTGTTTTCTAGTATTTTTGTGTAAAAGGATGGCTATGTCACCATCAGAGATGTAACATTTATTTGCTAAGATTAACCAAAAAAAAGATTGTTATGTTAGATTGATTATAGAATTGATATAGACCCTCTTCATTTTAAGACAAGATTAATGGAAAAAAAATAGGGATCCATGTCTTTGGAGTATTTAGATCCTCTAGTAAATGAACACATGCATGTCTACATTAGTACACATTGAGTAACCTACTATAGAACTTGGTTCATAGGAGTTAGTCAATGTTGAGTTTATTCAATACATTTCTGATTGAGTAGTTCTAATAAATATAGAATGTTTACTTAGCTTTGCTTTGTAAAATAAGACTTTTACTTTCATTTTCACATGAAGTATAGGTAGTTAGAAATGCTTGAAGATTCAGTAATAAACAGGGCTCAGGGGCACATGTCTATAATCCCAGCAACTCAGGAGAATGAAGCAGGAGGATTGCAATTTTTAGGCCAGCCTCAGCAATTAGTGAGGTTCTGTCTCAAAAATAGAAAAATAAAGGACTGGGATGATGTAGTTCAATGATGGAGAGCCCCTGGGTTCAATTCCTAGCAACACACACACACACACAAATAAATTAATAATAATATTCAATAATAGAAAAAGCACATATAATCCAGGGCCAACTAAGTATTCCATCAAAGTGTTTCATTTCTAGTGATGCTATTGACATAGACTACCAAGTGAATAATACCCCTGAAATTTGTATATCTATTACAGAACTTTTGCAGTACTAACATGGACACTAACTTAACTCCAATGATGCTGAAGTTTGTGAATTATGAAAGAGTTAGAAATTGATACCCACTCAGAGATTCTAAAAGACTCTTTTCTGATATGGGTAATTTCACAGCAAACGTTTGCTCATAATTTCAAACAAATAGTATGAAAGTACTAAAAAATTATGCATAATAGTGAAAGATATAAAATGATATGGAAGTGTAAATGATCATTTTGTTATTACAGTATACTAAAAAACCTGGCTATCCAGCTGAATGTGGTGGTACACACCTGTAATACCAGTGGCTCAGGAGGCTGAGATAGGCAAGTTCAAAGCCAGCCTCAAAAACTTAACCAGCCCCTAAGAACTCAGTGACACCTTGTCTCTAAATAAAATTCTTTAAAAATAAATGGTGAGGGCTGGGTTGTGGCTCAGTAGTAAAACACCCCTGCGTTCAATGCCTATTACCCACCCCCTTCCCCCTGGGGGGAAAACAATGGCTATCCTTTAGCTCCAATAAAAATTACTCCAATACCCAGAAATATCCTAAAGTATGAGATATTTGCATTATTCCTTTAAATACTTTTTTTTTTTTTTTTGCATTGCTGAGGCTTAAATAACCTGGGTCTTGTGCATACAAGGTAAGCACTACTACTGAGCTATATTTTAGCTCAAAACATTTTCTAGTTTGACCCATTCTGCCTGATTTTTAGAAAGTATTTTGTTTATTTTTTTCAGCAAATGTTTCCATGACACTTGATGCTTCAATGGAGCACCTTTCTCCAAAGAAAGATCCAATTCCAGTTATTAGCAATATAGTATCATTAGCAGATAATCCTGTTGCCTTGCCCATCATGGACATTGATGTCTTACAAGGTAAAAGATGATGTGAAGACATTTGATATAAACATTGTTTTGTTATACTTGATGAATGTATGTGTTAATTTTTTTTGTCTCCTGATATAAAATAAGCAGTTAGAGTTTATGATACTGTTTTTTTTAGTTTATGAGATCTTAAAGTAACGCTCTAATTTATTTTAACAGGTACAGTTTCTTCAGTAACAACAAATGTCATTACAGACGTAAGTTTTATCCTTATTTATTTGTCTACTCTCTTTTCTTTCATGAGCAGATTTTATATATATAATTATATATGTGCATACATGTAATATAGGTATTATGTATATTTATTAATCATTATTTCCTTTCTCCTACTTCATTTTTACTTATTAAGCAATCCTAGTTGCCTGAGCAACAAGTTATTTTATTACAACTATATACAAAATGGTTCTATAAACATTTAATGCTGAATCTAGATTGAAATAATTAAATTATAAATTTTTTTGTTTCCTCAGAGAAGTTCGTACTATAGCATACTCATTTTACTGTGTTATTAAAATAGATATGTTCAATATTTTATTTAAAGACTATTAAAACAACAGTGATTTTTCTCTTTTTTACCCACAGATCTCTAAGAGTTCACCCAATGAATCAAGTAATGGTGTTGCTAATAGAGTGGAACAGCCAAGACTTTTGCCATCTTCATCAGTACTCAGTCAGCACACCTTTGGTGCCAGTATAGAAGTACAGAAAGATAAAGTGTCAAACCAAGATCCTATGTGCAATATGAACTCTGTGAAAATAAGTGATGGATTGTGTCACCCAAAATTTACAGCCAAAGTACAAAAAGTTAAAGGTAAATCACAAAATACTAGGAAACCTTGGCATTCACCTTTTCAGCATGTGGAAAACAGTGTTAAAAAAGATATGACATTCTGTTATTCGTGTCAGTTGTTCTGCCAAAAAAATTTTAGCTATAGAGGAGAGTCATTTGTAACCCAAGGAACTTCTAATTGGAAAAAAACTCTGGAGAAATTCAGAAAGCATGAAAAAAGTGAAATGCATTTGAATTCTTTGCAGTTTTGGAGGAAATACCAGTTTTGTGATGAAGCTGTTAGTGATAATTTATCTATTAATTCAAATCAGATTGAGGGAAATAAAAAGTACCTAAAGCTTATAATAGAAAATATTTTATTTTTTGGAAAGCAGTGTTTACCCTTAGGAGCAAATGACCAGTCTATTTCATCCATCAATAAAGGCAATTTTTTAGAATTGCTAGAAATCAGAGCAAAAGATAAAGGAGAAGAAATGTTTCGACTAATGAGTTCACAAGTTGACTTCTATAATAGTACACAAATTCAAAGTGATATTATTGAAATAATAAAGACTGAAATGTTACAGGATATTGTGAATGAGATCAATATCTCCTCAGCTTTTTCAATAATATGTGATGAGACAACTGATAGTGTCACAAAAGAGCAACTTTCAATTTGTGTAAGATACCCACAAAAAACATCAAAGTCTATCTTAATTAAAGAAAGATTCTTGGGTTTCGTCAATATTGAAAAGATGACTGGGACCCATTTACATAGGAATATCAAAACTTATCTGCAGCAAATTGGAGTCGATTTTAATAAAATATGTGGCCAGTCCTATGACAGTACCACTAATCTGAGGGTAAAATTTAATAAAATTGCAGCAGAATTCAGGAAAGAAGAGCCTAGAGCTTTATATATACATTGTTATGCACATTTTTTAGATTTAGCAGTAATTAGATTTTGTAAAGAAGTAAAAGAACTCCGCTGTGCTCTAAATACTCTCAGTTCTTTGTTCAACACTATTCATATGTCTGGGGAAATGTTGGCAAAATTTCAAAACATTTTTAAGCTAAGTCAAAACAAGACATGCAAAAAACATGTATCACAGTCATGCTGGACAGTCCACGATCGTACATTGTTATCTGTGATTGACAATCTTCCAGAGGTTATTGAAACACTGGAGTTTGTATCAAGCCATTCCTCAAATACAAGTTTGGCTGATGAATTGAGTGACTTGTTGGCACTGGTTTCCAAGTTTGAATTTATCTTTTGTTTGAAATTACTTTATCGAGTGTTAAGTGTTACAGGAATTCTTTCCAAAGAGCTTCAAAGTGAAACCATAGACATTTTTTCTTTGTCTTCAAAAATAGAAGCAATTTTGGAATGTTTATCATCTGAAAGAAATGATGTATATTTTAAAACTATCTGGGATGGAGCAGAGGAAATATGTAAAAAAATAACCAGTAAAGGTTTTGAAGTTGAAAAACCTTATCTTCAGAGAAGACGAAAAATTCAGAAAACTATAGATCTTGATAATTCAGATAGTATGTTTCCTACTTCAACAGAAGAACAATATAAGATTAATATTTATTACCAAGGACTGGATACTGTATTACAAAATTTAAAGTTATGTTTTTCAGAGATCGATTATTGCAAAATGAAGCAGATTTCAGAACTACTATTTAAATGGAACGAACCATTAAATGAAGCAACAGCCAAACATATTCAAGAATTTTATCAGCTTGATGCAGACATTATCCCTGAACTTAGATTTTATCGGCACTATGCAAAACTAAACTTTGTCATAGATTATGATTCCATCACCTTTGTCAATCTTGGCTCTTTGTTTATTCAGCATGGTCTTCATAATAGTATTCCTTGCATCTCAAAGTTGTTATATATTGCTTTGTCTTGGCCAATTACTTCACCAACTGCTGAAAACTCCTTTTCTATATTGCCTCGTCTTAAAACATATTTATTTCATAACATGGGAGAAGAGAAATTTAGTGGCCTTGCCCTAATGGCTATTGAGCAGGAATTAGTAAATAAACTAATGGAGCCTGAGAGACTTAATGGGATTGTAGAAAAGTTTATCAGTCAAATGAAAAATATATAATACTTGCTAAATTGAACTGATTTAAAAGAATATTTTGGGAATTTTTTGTTTATTTGGAGGTACTGGGGCTCAAACCCAGGGCTTCATGATGAGTAGGCAAGTTTTCTACCATTGAACTATACCCCTAGCCTGCTCGCCCTTCCTTCTTCCTTCCTTCTTCCTTCCTTCCTTCCTTCCTTCCTTCCTTCCTTTCTTTCTTTTTTTTCTTTGAGACAGGTCTCACTGTATTGTTCAGGCTGGTCTCAAATCTGTGAGCTGAAGTGATCCTCCTGCTTTAGCCTCCTGAGGAGCTGGGGCTACAGGCACATACTACCATGCCTGACTTGCAATTTTAGTTTTTATTTTAAAATTGGGTTTCTTAAAAAAAATTTTTCAACAGAACATGTAGCATATTCACATTCAAAAATTCAGAAGACACAATGACATATAGTGAAAAACCTCCTTAGAACTCAGTTCCTCCTCAAAGATTTTGTTTATTTATTTTGCAGTGTTGGAGGTTAACCCAGGGCCTCACAAACTCTAGGCAAGTGCTCTATCACTGAGCCACATCCCCAGCCTCCTCTTCAAAGCTTTTCTGTTCATTAAATATCTTTCGAGAGGTATTTTCCCTAAATGGTACATTACATTGCACACTCTTCTTCAGCTTGTCCTTTCGACCTAATGTGGTGTTTTTGAAATTGTCTCATACCAGTAGGTAGCTTGCTTGATCTTTTTTTTTTCCCCTTTGGTACTGGGAATTGAACTCAGGGGCACTTGACCACTGAGCCACATCACCAGCTCTATTTTGAATTTTTATTTAGAGACAGGGCCTTTCTGAGTTTCTTAGTCCATCTCTTTTGCTGAGGCTGGCTTTGAACTCTATCCAGCTTTGGACTCCTGATCTTCCTGTCTCAGCCTCCTGAGCTGCTAGGATTATAGGTGAGCATCAGTGCACACAGCTCTTTTTTTTTTTTTTTTAACTACAGAAGATTTTATTGTATGAATATATTGCTTACTGACACATTTCTATTTGCAGTCATTTGTTATTACAAGCATTGCTTCCATTTTATACTTGGTACATAGATCATATATTGTGCATGAATGAGTTACCCTAAGATAAAACTGGATTCCTAAGTCAGAAGATTTGTACATTTTAAAATTTATGACAGGTACTGGCTGAATTGCTTTCTCTAAGGATTGTGCCAATTGAAAGTCCCACCAAAAATGCACAAGAGTCCCTATTTTCTCAAATCTTTGTAAGTCTAATTATCAAACATTTTGATCTGGGCTGGAGAGGTAGCTCAATAATAGACCTCTTGCCCAAAGTGCAAGAAGCCCTGGGTTCCATCCCCAGTACTGCAAAGGAAAGAAAGTAAATATGTTATTAGTTGAAAATGGTATTTTAATCTCAGAACAGTTTTCATTTAAGAATAAGGTTGAATATCTGTTTATTTGGGCCATTTGTATTTTCTTTTCTTGAACTGTCACATTTAAACATTAAAATTAGATATTGGGTTTTTTTAATTTATACCTCCATCTAAATGACACAACAAAACTTAAGCTGTTTTTTGAAATATTTTTCAAATAAACTACCACAAAAGAAAGGATTCTTTTATTTCTTTAAACTTTTAGGAGATGTGTTCTCCAAAGATTTGAAAACATTTGGTGATAAAAATATCTGGGCTTGGGGCTGGGGTTGTGGCTCAGTTGTAGAGTGATTGCCTAGCACGTGCGAGGTGCTAGGTGCTAAGGTGATCCTTAGCACCACATAAAAATAAGTAAATGAAATCAAATCTATTGTGTCCTACTACAACTAAATATGTGTGTGTGTGTGTGTGTGTGTGTGTGTGTATAAATAATCTGGGCTTAGGCGCCAGGGTTGTGGCTAGTGGTAGAGCGCTTGCATCACATGTATGAGGCACTGAGTTCAATTCTCAGCACCACATATAAACAAATAATAAAGGTCTATCAATAACTAATAAAATATTTTAAAAATATATCTGGCTTAGCCAGGTGCGGTGATATACACCTGTAATCCCAGTGCTTGGGAGGCTGAGGCAGGAGGATCATGAGTTCAAAGCCAGCCTCAGCAACTTAGCTAGACCCTAAGCAATTCAGTGAAACCCTGTCTCTAAAGAAAATACACTAAAGGACTGGGGATATGGCTCAGTGGTTGAGTGTCCCTGTGTTCAAATTCAGTACCAAAAATTTTTAAAAACCTCAAAGTGGACTTGGGGGGTAATGGCTATGCGCATCTTCCACTTTAACTTGAACATGGGTATATCATTTTTCTATTCCCAGCAATAATGGATGAGGGTTTCTGTTGTTTCACATTTTTACCTGTATTTGGTATTATCATTTTTCTATTTTTTCCAGTGCATTGATTTCTATTTTTAAAAACCAAGGTGTTACTTAACACTTAGTTTTGATTACTTAACTGTATATTTTCATTCCTTTGTTTTATAAGGAAATTGCATAACACTAAAAGTTTCCTTGGATCAGCTCTGTTTACCATGTATGTTTTTCAATCATTTTCTGTAATTTCTATCTTGTTATAGAATCAAAAGTTTCTGGTTTCTGTTTTGTTTTATTTTGGGGTTTTATGTTTTTAAGTGTTTGATTTCAGTTTTTAAGCGTGTAAAGCTTATAATGGAAGGCCTAGACCCAAAAAGGAAGACTACATTAATGCATGTCTTTGAGGAATACCTCTTGTGCAATCTGGGACATTTCTTAGGGTTTTATATGTTACTTATTTCTCACTACAACCTATGATTTTATAGAGGAAACTGAGGCTATGGATCACAACTAATAAAGGCAAAAGTAAGATTTGAAAACAGGCAGTATGACTGCCTGTAGGTCTTCATTCTCTGCTATCTCTTAAATCATTTTCATCTCTAACAAATATTCCTAAATAAAAAGTTATCTACCAGAAGTGCATTAAAAAAGAAAAGATGGGCTTGGGATGTGGCCCAGTGGAACAGCACTTGCCCATCATGTACAAGTCCCTGGGTTCAGTCCCCAGCACTGAAAAAAAAATAGTCGTATAGTTTTTGATCTCCCCATATCCCTCCATAATAGTTAGAATAGTTAAAGGAGAAACCTCTGTCCATCATCTTCAGCAAATCTTGGTGACAATTCCAAAATATGAACAGATAGTGATGAACTCAAAAACAGCTATGAGACCTAAGTGGAACTGACTGTAGGAGCTGGTATAGGAAAAAACAGTGAGTTAAAGGATGATGTGAAAATTAAGAAAACCTCCAAGTCAACAGGTGCTGAAAAGCATGGCATGTCAATTTGAGAATAGCTAAATAGAAGACCTCTATAATAGATTCCAACTTGCTAGTGTGTTTAAGGCAACTGTGCAGTTGTGAAGATGTTGGAATGGTTTAAAATTCTTAGGAATTCTTGAACCTAACGAGCCTCATTCCAAACCAAAACCCCTTTAAGATAGTAAACTGCACACGGAGCAGAAGAGGGACAATTGAGGGAAAAGAAAGGTTAGAAGTAAGAGAAGCAGAGTAAGCAGATGTCAGGGAGTACTAGGCTATTGTAGTAACTTTGGGAAAACTAGAATTTCCTGACCCTTAAGTCTAGAGAAACTATTCTGTCCCATCTCCCTCCCAAAAGCACAGGAAAATGTATTTCATATAAAACAGCAGTACAAAAGAATTATGGGATATAATTTTTAAATTACAAAATAGCAAAGGGCAGAAATATAGCTCAGTGATAGAGTGCTTGTCTAATATGCAGGAGGCCCTGGGTTTGATCCTGAATACCACACACATAAGAAAAACAGCAGAGTAAATCCCTAATAAACAGGTAAGAACGAACCTTCAAAAAAAAAGTTAAAATGATAGAAGGTGGCCAGGTGCATTGGAATTCCGGTGACTTGGGAGGCTGATGCAGGAGGATCACAAGTTTGAGACCAACCTCAGCAACTTAGACCCTGTCTAAAAGGACTCGGAATATCACTGGTAAATATCACCTGGGCTCAATCCCTAGTACAAAAGATAAAAGCTATGAAAAAAAATAATGTAAGAAAAATTCCGATCAGATAATGGAGTAAAAGATTTGAAAAAGAAAATGACGAGAGTTCAGGAAAGCATTAGGAAAAGATATAAAATTACTTTAGCCAGGCAGAGTTGCACAAATCTGTAATCCCAGCTACTCAGAAGGCTGAGACAGGAGGATCCCAAGTTTGAGGCCAGCCTCAGCAACTTAGTGAGACCCTATCTCAAAAAATTAAAAAAGAATGTAGCTCAGAGTTAAAGCACCCCTGATTCAATCACCAGTTGGGGGAAGGAAGACACGCATGTATGTGTACACAAAAATATTTTTAAATTAAACTAGAAGGACTTGAGTAAGAAAACACAATGATTATTTCACTTAATTTCTAAGTGAAATAGAATGTACAAAGGAGATATGTAAGAATATGCTTAAGAGGAATTCAAGAGTGATGTTGAATAGAGAAAACACAATATTCATGTATCAGGAATCTTCAAAGAAATTCAAAGCAATGGGAAAGGCTAGCACTCCAAAGCAATATAAAAAATAAATATAAAAACCTACATATACCGCTTAAAATATTATCACTTGTTTCACACCCACCCTTTTCTATTCTATGTAAAATATAAGTTGGAATTCAGCAAACCACATTTCTGCTCCTCTTTCTGGATCCTGTCTACTGACAGCAGCACTTGAGGGAGACTGCAAGACTTGAGATTTGTTCCTTCCCAGCTGCTTCCTGTGTGCTTACCCTCAACTCTGTGGTATCACTCCAGCACTGCTGCTTCCTCCTGGCAGCAGTACCTCCTTCCTAGCAGCAGATGAGTCCAGGTTGCAGGTCACACAGCTTGGGAGAAGTTGCTGTGTTATGCCTAGTCCCCTTCAGAGGCATGGGCCCCAACCATCCCACATAGCCCTTTCAGGGTTCTAGGTGTTAGGCCCAAATTCAGAGACCAACACCAGCATCCCTCAAATGTTTACTTTTTGCTCCATGGGGCCCCTTTCAATTTTAATAATTCCTGTGTCTTT